TTATCCGACATCCAACAGAGGTGCAGAAGCACCCAAGGGCACCTGCTGGGACATCCAAGAAAATGATGGATCGTGCCAGCAGGAACTGGATATGTCCATGGTGTGAAAGTTCCCCACACAGGACATGTGGCTTTTAAGTTTGTCCATCACACCAGCATTAGGGACAGACATTCAATGAACTGGACACCTAATTTCCCAACAGACCCTCTAAAGTATTTCCAAAGGAATCTGGCTCTCACTGATTCCAAATATACAAGAAAACAGCAGTTTTAAAGAGAGATACTTTATGTTGGTTCCAGTTAAAACAGAACAGTTGAACTCTCAGAGAACTTGAAGGTTTTGTTTGCAGTTTCAATGTTGACCAAACTATAGCTATTCTTTAAACATTTCAGAAATTGCACATTTTTCTCTGGTGATCTCAAGTACTTCTTACTACAAGACAAGGCACAGGCAAGTGAATTAATAAAAATCCCAACAGATTTTCATGACTCAAATACGTGCTTAATATTTCAGATAGAGTTTTCTCTAATTTTACTCATCCCTAGATAGAATCAAAACATGATTTGAGGCAAAAAAGTGTTATTCAGTTTTATGATTCATCAAATAATTTTGAAGCACTGAGCACATTTTAGCTCACCATCTGTTACATAACCTCAATGCAAAGTAAAAAATATTCCGGTTTTGGCTACAAACTTGAATTCCATCTTCAGAAAAAGGTTGGGATGACAAACAGACACTGTGAAGGACACATTCAGCCAACAAAAAAACTCTAGCACTTCCAGGAATTAAGCCTCTCATTCCTATAACAAAAACCACCACTAGCATAAGAAGGTCATGTCCTTTCCTGCTTTTAATATTTTTTAATATAAATTCTTTAGTATCTTTCTATTACCCATTGTAAATGTTTCATTTCACCAAGCCAATTATATTCACAATATATTCCCCAATCCAGACTGTAACTGATTCATGAATGTGTGTGTAGCAGAGGCATGTGCAATCTCCAGTCAAATGCCTTCTTTTTGTCCACAGAAAGAACTGCTAGGTGACCTCACATGTGTAATATACACAGCACACTGTTAAAAATCAACAAAACTGAGAATCAGGTATATTATGCAAAACCACCAAAACCACGCACCCACACACACACTCAGGAAGTTCTACAGTAACATTTCATTTATGTTCCTGAAAGGGATTGACTCTCTCAAGGAAATATAAACACTGAGGGCCACCACTAGCATCAGCCCCTCGCAGACAGCTCAGCACAGGCTCTGCTCACAGCTTTGTCCCACTTGTCCCTGTCTGAAATCCTCTGTGTGAGAGGGGCTGGCATGGGCGACACCTCTGGGGCTGTGACCAGCAAGAGAAGACACAGTCAGGGAAATCAGGCTGGAGCTCAGTGCTGCCACTACCACTGGCACCAGCTGAGTGCAGAATGTGTTGGCAGTAGCTCTGAAATGACAAATCTGGGGTGTGGCTGTAGGGTTCTTACTGAGCAACCAGTACTGATTTACCTGCTGCTGCCTCTTTCCCTTCTGAGTCGGTGTGTGTGCTGCCAGGAGCCACCAGCCCAGCCCCAGGGTCTCCAGGGCTGCCCAAGCACTGCTTCCCTGCCTGGGCTGGATGCAGTCCCTGGGGACAAAGCCAGCCCTCCCAGCCAGTGACTCGGGAAGGGACACACAGGACAGAAGGTGACAGGAAAAATTGCAATGCCAGCTCCCACCGAGCCTCAGACAGGCAATGGCAAACCTGTGCTGTGCCCTCACGTCCTCACTCTTTCCCCTCCATTCCACACCCCACGTAAATCTGATGAGGACACTGTCCTCTGACACCTCTGTTCCAGAGAAACTACAGAACAAGCAAAGATGTTGCTAACACTCCAAGAATGTGCTGAGCTGGGCAGCAAGTTTGCTAAGGATTGCCTGAGAAGGCAGAACCACCCTCCTGGGGCAATCTGAAGGGAGCACGGTATTAAACACTGTTTTTAAATCCATGAAGATAGGGTGGGTCAAGAAGACAGATGATGCAAAAAGCAGGAGAGGGATGAACAAAGGCACAGGCTTTGGGCCAAAGAATAAACCCTCCTTACTGAGTAATGGCAGAGGTGAAGGGGAGCTGGCTGGCAGCAAGAAACGCCACAGGGGGACCGAAAGCTGTTCCTAACACAGGGAGAAAGCAATGCAAGGACACTGACATGTTTCTGTATTTTGGATTCAGCATATTCTGCGCAATGTCAAAAGTTCAGCGCGAAAATTTCCATCTCAGCCTGAAGAAGAACAGTGCAAATATTTGAGTTTTGTGCAAGCAGGAGGCTGTTCCTGGAGATGCAGTGTGCGTGCAGGCCCCGG